ATTGTACATGTAGAAATTGCTGAAATGGTGTATCTTTGGCTGTGTATAGTCACCAAAACTAAAACAAAATTTCTAAGTGCATTTGATAAAACAATGCAAAAAATCCTACTTTCTGTATTTGCACACTTTTCTGTGTCCTTTTGAGTCACTCAGAGGCAAAAGTGAAACTATCAAGGGTATGCTTTGGCAGGGTTAGGTGCAGAACTGAACATGGGTGTTTGTAAAATAATAATTTTTGATGATATCACATAAATAGTGCTACACAAAAGTGTTATGAATCATAGCAATACCACCTGCTGATGAATAATTCTATTAGCTTCTTTCTTTGAATAACTCAGGATATTCCCGAAAGCAAATATTTTGCATGGCCATTTCTTGATATAGTTGTCAAATGGAACGATTCACAGCAGAGTAACTTAGTAGCAGCTGATAGAAAAGCACAGAGAAGACTTAATGACAGGTTGCAAATTTGTGGCTTGAGAACAAAATTAGACTTGGAGATGTATTTTTTTGAGCTCCACAATTTTGTTCTACACTGGAAAATGGTTCCAATTATTGCCAACATTAACAAAAAAAAAACTATACTTTTTACATAAAAAAATTGGCTTGAGCCAAGTAGCTACCTTCTCTTTAGACAGAAATGTTCTTTTTTCAGTTTGCCATAGTCTAAACCACTCTCTATTGTACTCATATGAAAACAATTGGCTGGAGCAAAGTAGCTGCCTCCTTCTTTAGAAAGAACTGTTCCTTTATCAGTTTGTCAGAGTCCACACCATTCTCTATTCTCTTCTTTTCTCACTTACAATGCCTGTTTCCTCCAGTCATTTGAATTTTTAACTCCTGAGTTAGATAATGCCTAAGAATGGAGGAGGGATTGGTTTTCTGTGTGGTCTAGATTTGGCCCCTAAAAAGAAGTCCTTAGGTCTTGAAGAAAGTCAATGGAAAGTTAATTCAACATATCTGAGGTAAGATATTTTCTTTTAATAAAGACATTCTTTACAGACCTCGTGTTAAAATAAGTCTTTTGTTTTGAAATGCATTCTAGGTGGATTTGCATTTAAATAACAATGGATTTATTAAGTTACTCTGATAGTTACTAAAATTCTCTTATGAAAGAATTCTCTTCCTTCTATGGAAACAGCAGCTTCTACTGCCTTCGAAGCTTTGGAAAAAAAAAAAGCAGATACAAAGCGTAGTAGTAATTAGGACATTACAGCTTAAGTCGATTGAAAATTTTCAGGAATTTGCTTGCTATTACCATGACTTACAAATATGAGGCAGAATGCAAAGTAAAATATATGTGTAGTTTAGAGTTAACAGTATCTGTATGATGCCGCTGTTTCACAGCATATTCCCTGGTTCAACAATCGAGGAAATGGCCTTCGGTGAAACAGAGTATATACACAGTGAGTGGGGGACATTGGTGAAGAAAAATGTCAGGATATAGGGATTTAAGAGGCTTGCCTTGTTTTTCTGTAGCAAGTGCTGGAAGTTGCCCATGATTTGGGTGTCTCAGGTAATTCCCACCGACATTTTCATGGTCCCACTCTGGTTACTGTGGGTCTCATCTCAAGGAAATTTGAATGCTTCAAAAACAAAAACAAAACCAGTTGCTGTGGAGTGGATTTTGATTCATGGTGACCCTGTGTATTTCAGAGTAAAAATGCACTCCACAGGGTTTTCAATGGCTGTGATCTTTTGGCAGTAGATCACCAAGACTTTCTTCTGAGGCACTTCTGGGTGGATTCAAACTGCCAACTTTTGTTAGTAGCCGAGCGCTTACCCATTTGTGCCACCTTGAACCTTTCAGTGGAAGACAATTCCTCAGTTACCCCTACAACCAGCTGATAAATTTGATTTTCCCTAAAGAGTTGACCTCAAATATACATCAATCCATTGACACCGTCTGACTATATAACACGGGACCAAATGTTTCAAGGGAGAGATCCATTCTCCCTTGTCCCAGTAAGAAAACCGACACCTGCCCCCCCACCAAATCAATAGGATACAAAATCGATTTGAGTATTTTATTTATAAATGTACATTTACTATAAAAGCTGTTGCATTTTAGACAACTTTTTATTTTTATTTTTTACTATTTCTCAGAGGCATTTTAGAATAAATATTGTCAATGAAGGTTAGTGTTAACTGATATAGAACATTGGCCACCCATAACAGTAACATCTTTTGGACAGACTCACATAGGAGGTGGATCCTTTAGTTCATTAAATCTTACACTGTGTATAGATAACTATAATAGGTATTGCATTAATAACACTACATAGAAAGAATGAGGAAATGTCATAAAAGTTTGTAGTGAAAAACAAAGCATTACCCATGTTTTCTTAAGAAAGAGATGGGATTAGTATTTGGAGTATGAGAAAAAAAATCAGATATACTTCCTCAGGAACAATAAATCACTCACTTGCCTCAACCTTTTTTTTTTTTAAACAAACACATTTACATTCTAGCTCAACAGTGGCAGAGCTTTTTTTTTTTTCCTGGGATCTCAAAGATTATTTGAAAAGAAATAGATCATACTCATTATGCTGCATTGGGAAAAACAAGATCTAGTCTGCTGAAGCTGCCATGTAGCAGACTCCAAATGAAATATAAATCAAATATAAATAGAAACAGTTGGCAATTAGAATTTAGAAAATGTTGGAGATTATTCTGTGCTGGTGACTAGTGTTCATTATGGAAAAGCACATTTTGCAGTTGGAGAATAGGGCTTTATTTTTCTTGACTCGATTCTAGCTTCAATACATGTACAATGAGTCTCACTAAGAAATATGTATAAATGGGTTTGTGAAACCAGAAGAGAATGTGCAATATTCATATATTCCTAACATAACGGATGGAGTTCCACATGTAAAAAGTATTCTATAAAAATCGGTTATGAATGATCGTATTGTACATGTTTGTGCATTATCTGTGGTACTCTGCTAATATCATGCAAAGTGTAAACATCCACATTATCAAAATATTTAATAAAACATGCAGGTGGTTAATCAAAATATTGGACTTAATTTGTACATTTTCAAAACTTTTTTCTTTAATTTTTTTTTCCTGTAAAACAGCAAACACCTCCATGAGAAGTCTTGGGAACTTGGAAATGACTTCCTCTCTCTTCAATGTACTGCATCCATAATTCATCACTGACTATGTGCAACAGCTTTGCATTTTCTAAGGCACAATTTTTAATGAAATGGCATGTAAATTTCAATCTAACAACAGCTTGTCCAGATGAAAATATGGTCAAAATACCTCCAGTGGCTGAGGAAATTTCTGCACTTACATGGGACCAACATGCAAAGAATCATCTAGCATGTAAATAAATAATCAACAGCCATACTCAGTAACTCATAGCAACCCTAAAGGACAGAGTAGAACTGCCCCATAGGGTTTCCAAGGAGCGCCTGGTGGATTTGAACTGCCAACCTTTTCGTTGTCAGCTGCAGCTCTTAATCACTATGCCACCAGTGTCGCTATAAGTTAGAATGGACTCGATGGCAATGGGTTTTTTTTTTTTTTTATATACTCAGTAAGACAAGAAAAAGAATTATTGCTTACGTAACAGAAAAACATCTACTTGATCTCCTTTTACGACTACATTAACCTACTAGAAGTGTTTCCATAGTCTACATTCACATAATGTAATTTTTACTTATTTGCCATTGTCTTAAGGCAGAATAAATAGTTCTTCTTCTCAGTCTTACAGAAAACAGCCTGGAGATCTAAAACGTGATCTTTTTTAGTAGTTTGACGCTCTTCTTGGCCAGCTGAAACTCATCACACAGGGCAGAAAATAAACAAGCTCCCGATAAGAGTTCCTCTCTAAACTTCTCTATGCGCAGGGTCCGGAATTCTTGATGGTAAAGAGAGGTGGTGACAAAGGAGAATAAAGGAGAGCACGTATCCATTAGAGCAGGCAGGGCACAATTTGAGCGGTAGGTTATTGCTGATCACACACCAGTGGCTTTTCACATCATGATGTCATTTTGGATTCTGTTAGGATGGAATTAATGCTTTTATTTAGACTCTTGAGTTTCAAGCCCTCAGGGAGAACTTGCAGGCTAGGTGAGGAGTGGCCACTCCTAATAATGACTTATCTCAATGAGATCTTCCATTGCCTACTATAAAGTCCCTTACTGAGGACTCCTGAAGAGAAGCAAGCCACACAGACCTTGTGGCTATGACCCACCACTCTTTTGAAGATTGAAGTTTTTCATAGATTTTGGTAATAACTTGGGAAATGATGACTGAAATATTTCCCACTGTTGTTTTCCTACCCTTGGGCAATGTCCCAGAGTGTAAGTCTAGCAGATAAATTGCAGATTTATTTGACGGAACAGCCTATATTAATGACATAACTTCCAAGGAACACAAAATCTAATACTAACGGTGCAATAATTTATTGGTATAACTTCTACCCTCAAAAAGTAAGTAACACAAATGTTTTCAGGATTACAGTATATATTATCAGACTAGTGTCTTTGCATTTAAAACAAGTTATAGCTCAGAGAGCTCGCTGTGACGTTTAGTTTCTGAAATGCATTAATCTTATGCTGTCTTAGAAGACCACGTCTCAAATTGGCATGTCTTGCACTTTCTGCAGCTTAATTCTGTAAACGTAAAATGCTTAATTCCTAGAGGTACTAATACAAAACAGGTTCATTGCATCATTTACCTCATTAAGTTCCAAAGAAGAGAATAACACATTTTAAACCATAAGCCTGCTTGACCATGCTAAGACCCTTTTTTGAGCTATTCAGGATCATTACAACTCAATAGCCTCTTTTATATATGTGCAAATGCAAAAAAAAAAAAAAAAAGTAAAACACAAACACTGTTCTACAAAAGAGATAACATCTTTTAGAAGAGCCTTTCTGAAATTAGATAAATGCTGGGAAACCCTCGAATTTGGGATTTTGTTAGGCGATTGCCAGGGACACCCTCAATAAACAATTGGTGAAGGATCTGGAAGCTTGAAAACCACATCACAACGTTGTAGGTTGGCCAGCACCTGTGATAAAGAAACAGAGCAACATTTGGTGAAAGAAGTCAGCACTTCTTGCTTCAGATGTTTTAAAACTTCCCAGATTAGCAGTTACCTCTGGTAAACTCTCTTCCCTCCAGGGTGGGAAAACCAGGGCTTTGAACAGGTTCAGTCTCATTCAAACCCCTGGTGAGAATTTACATTTCCACCCCAGATATACTGAATCAGAATCTACATGTTAACCTATCCCCAGGTGATTGCTATGTATAACAAAATTTGAGAATCGCTGTTCTACTAGTAAGGAGCCCTGGTGGCCAGTGGTTAAAGCAATTGGCTGCTAATTAAAAGGTTGGTGGTTCAAAACCAACAGTACTCCGTGGAAGAAGGATGTGGCCGTGTGTTTCCATAAAGATTTACAGCCTTGGAAACTCTATGGGGTCCCTATGAGTCAGAATCGACTAGAATGCAGTGGGTTTTTTGGCCCTACCAGTGGTTCTCAGGAAACCCTGGTGGTGTAGTAGTTAAGAGTCACGACTGCTAACCAAAAAGTTGGCAGTTCGGATCCACCAGGTGCTCCCTGGAAACCCTATAGGGCAGTTCTACTCTGTCCTATAGGGTCGGTATGAGTCAGAATCGACTCAACGGCAACGGGTTTGGTTTGGTTTGGTTTTGGTTTAGTGGTTCTCAGAACTGGTCTTTACTCCCTAACCAGCAGCATTAGCATTGCCTAGTACCTTGTTAGGAATGCAAATTCTCAGCAGGGGTGCAAACTGGTTCGAAGCCCAGGATTAGAAATGCTTTGGATTTCACCCTAAACCAAATGAACTTTCATTGAGTTTTCTACTTTGTCTTCAGGGGCAAATAAGCAAGAAAATAATCTCTTTTCCCTCAAGTTCTTTAGGTTTTGGTTCTCTAATAATAAATACATTATAACTGAGGAATTCAACACATGATCTAGAACTAGGATGGCTAGATTTAGCAAATAAAAATATAGAACACTCAGTAGAAACTGAATTTCAAATAAACAACAAATAATTGCTTATTAGTTATTTAAGTATAAGTATATACCATGCAATATTTGGGACATACTTGTGTTAAGTAGAGAGCTTGCAGTATTGGGACATATTCATACTAAATGAATTATTCATTATTTATTTGAAATTCAAACTTAACTGGGAAAAAATTAACTGGGCATTTTGTATTTTATCTGGCAACCCTATCTAGAAAGGATGATCTGGGCTCCATATTTCTTGCTGAAACCTTTACAAGGTTTCTCCTTCATTTCAGGCACTAGAGTTGTGATGAGGCAATTGCAACATTGGAAAAGACCCCAGGGAGTTTGCGTTAAATGCATTTCACAAGAGTGAATGATGGAACAGAACACCATGTACAAAGACACAGTCATCCAACACCCAAGCACAAATGGCACAAGCTAAACACGTGACGGCCTGATTTGTGACAGGTAATTTGTTTTGCACTTCCATTCCCATTTACATATGAACTTAAAAACTGTTTACATTGCTTTTAGGAATTGCATTTTAATATGCTGTTATGCTATTTTTCCCTCCAAGAGAAAAATTTCATTTAAATGTAACTAGTTACTTGGAGAAAATAGGATTATATATTCAGGTTTTATTCCACAAAATGAAATTATTTTGTTTCACTTAGAATGCCTATGATGTAAACCACCCCTCACATCCATCCATCTCCCATCTTCTCCACTCAGATAAAATAAAAAAAGAATGATTTTCAGCCATTTCTTCCAATTCCGACTCTTTTATTGTATCTACAGTATACTCAACCAATTCAAATGTATTTATACTTCCCTAGTCAATTGTAATCCCCTCCCCTCCACCCATTCACACCTAAACTATATTTATTTCTTATGACACCATGAAAGAAATGAGTAGTAGTCTCAGATATGCTGGTCATTCTCCTTGTCATGTATTGACTTAATTAAAATTCAGCCTAAAACGGTACCTGCATTTATGTGCAAAAACAAACATGAGAGAAAAATTAGGAAATTTTTGGAAAAAATAATTAGAGAGAGGGTGGCCACTATTACCCAATATTAAAACATATTATGAAGCTACAATAAATAAGACAGATACTGGAGAATAAATAGGTTAATAAAATATTCAGAAATAGATGGAAGTATGTATGGGCTTAGTTTATGATAAAGGTGGCATTTCAAAATAGTGGAAAACAGAGGGATTATTCATTAAATGATATTCACACCACTGGCTAACTGGAAAAAAAATAAAGCTGGATATCTACCTCATTTCTTACCCCAAAGTACATTCCTGATGATCACATATTTACATGTGAAAAACAAACAAAAATACTAGGAGAAATCTCAGCTAAATTTATACATAACTTGGAGTGGTGAAAGTAGGATGAGTTTTTCTAAGATACAAAATCCAGAATCCAAAAAGAAAAAAGAAAGATAATTATCTACATCCTAAAATGAAAATCTCTTGCATAATAAATCAGGAAGTGGAAAGGCCAATGGTAACTACAAAATGTAGTAAATATGACAATGGGCGGGTATCTTTAATTTAAAAAGAACTTATACAAATCAGCTGCCAATAGAAAAATGGGTACAGGATGTTGTTGTTAGTTGCCATGGAGTTGATTTTCGACTGTGGTGACCCCTTGTGACAGGAGAACTGCCCCATAGAGTTTTCTAGACTCTAATCTTTATGGGAGCAGATCACCAGGTCTCCCTCAGGTACAGAAGCAGTTTATAGCCAAAGTAATACAAACGGTGAATAAACATATGAAAAGATGCTCAAACTCACTTATAATTAAAGACATACAAATCATAGCAATGAATCTTTTTTTCCCACCCAGTGAACTGGAAATAACTGCCCCATAGGGTTTCTAAGGCTGCAATCTTTACAGAAGCAGCTTGCCTCATCTCTTTCCGGTGGAAAGATGGGTTCGAATCACCAACTTTTCAGTTAGGAGCTGAGCACTAAACCACTGTGCCACCAGGGTTCCTTGCTGATATCCAGAGCTGACATAAATGTGGAAAAGAAAGAGCCTTTCTTACGCACTTTGGGGGAAGAGTGCAACTTTTTTTGAGGATAATTAGGCAAAATGTATGAAAATTTAAAAAGCACATACCCTGTAACTCAGAAGTCCTACTGCTTAAACTTGTTTTGCTGTCGAGTCGATTCCAACTCATAGCAACCCTATAGACAGAGTAGAACTGCCCCATCTTTCTCCTGAAGAGCAGTTGGTGCATTGGAACTACCAGTCTTTCCATTAACAGCCGAGCACTTAACCACTGCATCACCAGAGCTCCTTTCCTACTGCTCAGAATCTACGATATGGCAATGCCTTCAAATATTCATCAAGATACATGCACAATGTTCACTGGAGCATATTTTTGTAATATTAAAAAAACTGGAAAGAACCAAAGTGTCCATCCACCAAAAATTAGTTAAATAAATTATGCTAAATCCATACAATGGGATTGTAGGTAGCCATTAAAAAGAATAAAAAAGAATGGGTTAATATAGAAAAACTGCCCAAGATACATCATTAAGTTAAAAACAACAATGACAAAAACTAAGTACAGAACACCATGAATATATGATCAGCTTGTGAAAAAACACACATGCAGGTAGATGCATTACACACCTAAGTGTGTGTGTGTGTGCGCGCGCGTGCGTGCACGGGCATGTGTGCATGTACATATACACAAACATACATTCTGACCCTGCCCCATGAAGTTATCAGAAAGTAATTATGATGGTTAACTAAAAATTTTCCCTTTTCGTTCGGCAGCTTTCTGAACTGTTCAAAATTTTCTAACCTTATATCATTTATTGTTGTTGTTGTTAGCTGCCATCAGGTTGGCTCTCAAATCATGGCAACCCCATGTGTTACAGAGTAGAAGCGCCCCATAGGGTTTTCTTGGCAGTAATCTTTACAGGAGCAGTTTACCAGGCCGCTGGGTGGGTTTGAACCACCAACCTTTTGGTTAGCAGCCAATCTCAAACCACCATCCAGATGAGATACCATTTGTAACTTTCCTTTATTTATTCTTCGGAATGTCTATAGAGGTTATCTAGTCAGAGAGATATTAAGCCTTTTTGGTTTCTTCCTTGACTTTCTTAGTATTCTAAAAATTTCTAGTAAAATACTGCATTAAAAACTTAAAAAAAATCGCAACTATAGACTACCTTCAGATCATTGTTTTTCATCTTACAAGAAGGTTACAGGAACTCTATCATTCTTGTCTTTATTTACTTATTTATTTTTTATTGATTCTTGTCTTTAGATTTGGAATTAAAAACAGTTAACAGAGACGGGCTTTATATTTGTATATGAAAGAGAAAAATTCCTGGCCTACATCCGAAAAGCTAATTTCTAAAAGAAATCATTATGAATCACACAACTCCCCAGTTAAAAAAAATAAAATCTGGATCAGAAGGGGTCACTGTCACCTAGAGGTGGGTTCAGTTTTATTCCCTGTTGGCATCCTTCGAGCACTTTAAATTATGGAAGAAATTCCATCTGGCTCAAAGGTCTGTCCTGCAACCTAACTGTGCCCTCTTCTGGCTCAATGCTTCACATTCAGCTGATTCACTGAGGCTGAAAAAATGCTTAACTTGCAGAAGATGATAGAAAACAATAATTCTGAAATCTGAGAGACAAGGTTTTTAGTTTTCCTTTCTAGTGTATGAAAACAAAAACAAACAAACAAATCAAGTTGTTGTATAAATAGTCCAGGTTGATGGCAGCAGCTCTGAGTTGGAACTGTTTTGACCTCAAGTCGAATGTGCATCATAAATCAAAACTACTAGGGTTTGATTTAATTTTTAATTCCCATCATTTTATTAAGATAGGCACACATTTGTCTGAATTTACTAAAACCATAGGTCTAAAACAACTTAATTTCAATTTTTACTCTTAAAGTCTTCCTTATGCCTCACAGATTTAGACACCATGTAAAAAGACTAAAAATGTTACTTAACTTACTTTGAGAAATAATAAAACATTCTTGAATTTCAAACTCCTTTCTTCACTTAATCTTTTTCTTCTTAAAAGAAAGAGTTTTAAACTGATGAATTCGCATTATAAGGTCTCCTGCTGTCTATCCACCAGAAGGACTATGGTTATATTGGAGACTGAGGAAGGATTCTGAGGCAAGCTACTGGATATTTAGATTTTCTAAACAGCAGCTGGGCAACAGCACCCCCTGCTGCCCCCAAAACCAACATGAACCTTCTACATTAGGAGACCCAGATATAAGATGGGAGGGTTGACTCTTCAAGGAAGCTCCAAGGCAGCTGTGACTGTGTACTAAGGTATTGGAGTGGCAGTTCACAGAGGATCAGAAGCAACAATTTTGTCTCTGAAGAAACTTTCAATTTAGTTGGGAACAAAACCATATTATACAATGAAACTCCTGATTGTAGGGCAAGTGGGTATTGAGGAGTTTGGTGCTTGATTTGATAAACAGTGGAGAGCCACTCTTCACAGGTAAACCATCCTCAGATGGTGCTGGTCTCCTAAAGATATGTCTCAACAAATGAATAGTGCTTCCAAGACCTGATATCTTCCTTCTGCCTCACCAGAATCTCTACGGTGAGCTCTGTTGTGTTGTTGTTAGGTGCCGTCGAGTCAGTTCTGACTCATAATGACCCTATGTACAATAGAACGAAACACTGCCTGGTCCAGCACCATCCTCACAATCATTGTTATGCTTGAGTCCATTGTTGCAGCCGCTGTGTCAATCCATGTTGTTGAGGGTCTTCCTCTTTTTCGCTGACCCTCTACTTTACCAAGCATGATGTCCTTCTCCAGGGACTGACCCCTCCAGATAACATGTGAGCTCTGGCGGAGTCCAAAAGTTGGCCTACAGTTTTTACCTGCTGGTGTGTTAATTTGCTTCTGGATGGAGAGAGTGTGTGCACACTGTAGCAGTCACTTCCAGTAAGAAACAAGTGCTAAATAGGGGTTATTTCTTTTTATTTCTTTTACCTAGATTTCCCTAGATGCCACCACCAGTCAGTCTGTCGTACTGTGGTAGATTGCATGTTGCTATGATGCTGTAAGTTATGCTACCAGTATTTCGAATACCAGCATCAATTGTATCAATTTGGCTAAGCCATGATTTCTAGTATTGTGTGATTGTCCACCATTTTGTCATCTGACGTGATTTTCCTATGTGTTGTAAATCCTACCTCTACGATGTTAATGAGGTGGGATTAGAGGCAGTTATGTTAATGAGGCAGGACTCAATCTACAAGATTAGATTGTGTCTTAAGTCAATCTCTTTTGAGATATAAAAAGAGAGACGTGAGCAGAGAGACAGGGGGACCTTGTACCACCAAGAAATGAGAACCAGGAAAATAGCACATCCTTTGAACCCGGGGTCCCTGCACTGAGAAGCTCCTTGACTCGGGAAGATCTATGACAAGGACCTTCCCCTAGAACCAACATAGAGAGAAAGGCTTCCCCTGGAGCTGATGCCCTGAATTTGGACTTCTAGCCTACTAGACTGTGACAGAATAAACTTCTGTTTGTTGAAGCCATCAATTTGTGGTATTTCTGTTATAGCAGCACTAGATAACTAAGACAGTCACCCATGATGGACAGGTTTCAGCAGAGCTTCCAGATTAGGACAGAAGGAAGAAAGGCCTGGCACAATTTACCTTTGAAAATTAGCCAATGAAAGCCTTATGGATAGCAGCCTTAGAAAAAATACAACCAGGATGCTCCTTAGAAGTGAGGATGGCGAGACTTCGGCTCAATTACTTTGGACACACCATCAGGAAAGGCCAATCACTAGAGCAGGATATCATGGTTGATAAAACAGATGGCTGGCGAAGGCGAGGGAGGCACTAAGAGAGATGGATTGATCCAGTGGCCGAAACAATGGGCTCCAAAAGCAGCAATCATGAAGATGGCACAGGACTGGGCAATGTTTTGTTTTTAGACATAAGGTCACTATGAGTCGGAGATGACTCAGTGGCAACTAACAACAACAACAGATGTGAATAAATGTTTTCCTCAGGATAGTTTTGTAGATGGAGAAACACATTGAATTCCTAAACTGGGTTCTATGAAAGGCATATGATTGCATCACTCATCTCAGGGTTTTCCCCCAGTACTTACTTCTGGATCGCATGTAGCAATCATTACAGTTTAGAAGACCGTTTCGGATCCTGACATCCGTCCCACTCAGTGCATCTCCAAGCTGCCCTTTACAAATTCCACACTAGAGAGGAAAAAGAACAGAAGCCATAAGGTACATGGAGAATTGTTTCTTCCTTTTGTTTTATAATTTATTTTTGTTGGTTTTGTTGTTGAGGAGGAATTGTTTCTTTATATCACTTACTGCTTACATGACTAGAACACGAATCACTTATACAATCTGCATATTTGTTGAGCAACTACTACATGCTAGGTGCTATACCAAGAGTTGACCTAACAACAACAATACACTTCTAGGATTTTATCCTAACTCCTTTCATTTCACAGAGGAGGACATTAGTTCCGAGAGGCTAGTTGACTTGTCCAAGGTTGTAAAGCAGGTAAGTGGTGTTATGTTAGGCTGAGTCCAAAGCCTATGCTCTCAACCTCTATGATACACTCTATCAAGATGGGAGAACCATTTTAAACTCATTAAACCATGGTGGTTTTAAATAAACACACAGCCAACGAGTTATCAATCGAAACTTGTCTGTGAATAATCTTTTAGATGCTTTCCAGTATTGTTGGTAAGTTTTACCAGATAAGAGTATTAGGCAATAGTTATTCTACTTTATATGTCCACATTAAAGACAGTGATGCCCAGAGTAACAAATCCACTGTAAATGGAATTTCCTTCAGTCAAGTCATCCTGTGTATAGAAGGAGACTGAGGGATACACCATCTGGTTGTACCAGAGAAGGTGGCAGTGGGAGTTGGTCAATATGTCAGGCTCTTGCTGGAGGATTAGGACCCAGCTCAGGAGAAGGGGTCCTGAAGTCACCCAGGACAGGGGACAGCTTCTTTCAAATTATGTTACAAGCTGCAGTTACATCCCAAACCAAAAAAAACATATCTGTTTCTGTAGAGTTGATTCTGACTCACAGTGACCCTATAGGACAGAGTAGAACTGCCCCATAGGGTTTCCAAGGAGCAGCTGGTGGATTCAAACTGCCAACCTTTTGGTTAGCAGCCAAGCTCTTAACCACTGCACCACCAGGGCTCTATCACAAGGTCGGGTAATAAATCTAAGGATGCACCTTAAAGCATCATACTAGTTATAGAAAGTGAATAAAAGCCTTGACAGCTAAGAATGCCAGTATCCTATCGCTTGAGAATATGCAAAGACCCCTTGCCACCTCCATTATTTCTAGTTTTGGTAAAGTTTCTAAGAACAAAATGTGGTGTTGGAACATATCATCTTTGCATTACCATGAAATTAAAAAAATATATTCTTAGAGCCTCAAAATTCTTCTAGATAATTTGGGATATATATCATCCAGGTTAATTTTACAATAAGAATATATTTGGTTATCTTTTGTGAAATTACTCTCTATAAAAATAAAACAGAACTTGGGAATGGAAAACTGTGGTCTCATTCTAATATGTTTAATACATTGGATCTATAATAAGTATTCACATTGTGGCGATGTCTTGCTTTCAAATGATTACTGATATTATTAAATTAATAATTTGGGGACAATTTCACTCATTTTCACTTAGCATATAGGCAAAGTGGGAGTCATACGAATCCACTTTATAGTGCAGGAAGCTACAAACAAGAAATACTAAGTCAAGAAGGAAAAAGGAAGCATGCCAGAATTATGCAAAGAAAGAGATGACCCTTATTCAGTGCTGCAAAGTTTGGCTTCAAAAATTGCATATTAATTTGAAATGTGTTCATGAGTCAAGAAAAGACAAGAAATGCTTACATAATCAAACTCATAAATTTTATGATAAAGTATAACGCACTGGTTAGCTTACCTACTTATCAGAATCTAGGCTTCCTCATTTGCAGTTTATTCATTAATTCATTCATCTAAAAATATTTATTGACACCTACTCTTTTAGGTACAGAGGCAAAAGTGGTGAGCAAGACAGACATGGATCCTGTCTTTATGGAGTTTATAGCCTATCTGAAGAGATAAGTCATAATTAAAGAACTTAGTAATGAGGAATAAGGGCCAGGAAAGGTTCTATAAGGATATATAACAAAGGCAACTGACTTAGTCTGAGTGAGCAGGGTGGCTTCTTGGAGGGAGCAATATTCAATATGAAATTATAGACATTCAATCTGAAATCTAAAATTTTGCAGCTAGCTATAACCAAGTAATTTGCAGAAAATCTTGTATTAGGTTAAAATAAAGACTAACGCCCTTGTACATTTTACATTAAGTCACAAGAGTTCAAGAATCAGCAAAGATGTTATACTGCAAATAAATCTTCATGGCCCTAAAAGACTCAGAAGCATCAGTGTCTTCCCAGTGTAGCATTCTTATTTTCCTGCTAGAGTATATGGTCGTTATCAACAAAAACTGTTGTGTAAAGACAACATCAGTTGCACACATCTGTTTAGCCTCTTCTAAACCAACATCCCACAGCAATGCACGATAGAAGAGCTTTATCCTAAAGGCTGTACTTCACCCACACTTCTATACAACATAGAGGTGGCAAAGGCCTTCAGGATTTCCAGGAGATATTTCTTAGCACAGAGGATGCCAAAAGATAACATGAAGTTGCACTTAATAAGAAGAGTGATGAGTACGTACCCTAAAGCACTGGATGTGAAAATAGAGATTAAGGGTCTCGATGATCATAGCAGCTCCTTTACCCAAAGGAAGGCCACAGGAAGAGCACAGCTTCTTCCCACTTATAGACCTGGATTAAAAAAAAATATATATATATATATTTATTAAATTTTCAGTTTAGAACAGCTGGTTGAACACACAAATATGTAACCTCCTGCAAAAGAGATATTCTTCTGTGCTAGATATTCTTCTTCCCATAGGTCACATTTTTATCATAAATGACATGAAAATTATTGAACTGATAATGAACAGGAATTAAATATTAGGTATAGGTTACAGACAACTTCTAGACTAAATACAATAGGGCTCTATTGTGGTATCAAATCTAGTGAGTGTGTGTGTGTATGTATGTATGCATGTATGTGTGTGTGTATGTATGCATGTATGTGTGTGTGTAAGTTATTTGTTCCAAGAAATTTCTGTTGTAGTCTGTTCAGCCAAAGTGATCAAATGCCTTGAGATGATTCAGTATATTTATCATATATTCTCATAACTCCTAAAAGATAATTAAGCTTAGCTTTACTAAGGTTTCAACATAGGTTTAAAATTTTTCATAATTGGCTCATTGGCCCACTAGGACATTTCTTTTTACTTGTTAAGAAAAAAAAAAATTGTTTCCTAATAGAGAATTGTGATACACAGAACAGGTACCAGGCAGAGATACGGGGTCCAAACTCTAAGACCCAGGATTAAATCCTTGCTTCATCACCAAGTTCTGTTAAAGAAGTCATTTTGTGTTTCCCTTTTGCCTTTGAAATGAGGGGACTGAACTGGATTACTCTATGACCTCTTCTAGTCCAAACATGCTATGAGTCCATGATTTGGAAACTTGACATTTTAAGTTGTAAGTCCCTGGAGGGTATGGGCTATATCTACCTGATCTCTATATTCCCGTAGACCCTCGAACAGAGTCCACCAGTGGACTAGAACCAAACCTAACAGTCTAACACCAGGTGAGATGACATGGTCAACAGTCCATCTGAAATTAGATGGCTGTTCTCTTAAAGGAGAGCCCTGGTGGCACAGTAGTTAAAAGCTCAGCTGCTAATCAAAAGGTCAGCAGTTCAAATCCACTAGCCACTCCTTGGAAACCCCATGGGGCAGTTCTACTCTGTCATATAGGGTTGCTATGTGTCAGAATCAATTTGACAGTAACGGGTTTGGTTTTTTTTTTTGGTTCTCTTAAAGCAGCTTTCACAAAGCAAAAATCAGATTGCAATGCTGCCTATTGTCTGAAAAGCTCTTGGAATTATACGGAAACCTTTAAAATATGCAATATCATTTGAAAGTCAACGGGGTACAAAGGGACAGTAGTACAGAAAGAAAGACAATACAAAAGAGGAAAGGAGAACTGCCTCAAGCAAACTCTATTTATTAGGATTTCCCTCTTATCTAGTAGTTAAATGAAATTTCTAAATCAAAAAGAACCTCAGAGTACTCAGTAATTTGTTTCTCCAGTGAATGGAAATTTAGGCAGCTTTTAAGAATATCATGGGGCCCAATTAATGTCCAGAAGCAATCATTAGAGAGCTGGAGTGGATTAAAAGAGAAGGATGAAGTTTCTTTTCTCAGCCTCTGCTTGGTTCTCGGGAATAGCCATCAGCGGATCTTGCCTAGGAGCACTGAGCCGTCTTGGAGGGAAAGGCGCCGATTGAGGAGCCCAGAAATTGTCTGGGAGATTTTATTATTAGATTGCGGGTTCCACACAATGTAATTAAAGCCTTGTGGCCACAGCAATGCCAACGTCACACACTTCGCTTTTTCTTTTGTGGGCTGACAAATCGGCAGGCAGATGGGAAGTGTTTTCTTTCTCCTATGTGTGTGTGTGTGTATGTGTATAGGAAGAGATGTGGATGGACAAATCATTTGGCAAGTGACGCAGTGGTTAGCTCAGCTGCCAATCAAAAGGTTGGCAGTTCGAATCCACCAGCTGCTCCTTGGAAACTCTATGGAGCAGTTCTACTCTGTTCCATAGGGTCACTAGGAGTTGGAATCAACTCAATGGCAACAAGTTCTGGTTTTGGTTAATTTGGTTGCAATTATGCTAGACAAGCTGTAGTCAAATAAAACCAAGCAGCCTCAGGAAGGCCTGCTGACCTCTTGTACCTGTTTGGTGACTGGCCAGGAGGGGTGGGAGAGCAGGGGGACAAGTGCCCAGCCTGGAAGTTTTCTTGAGGGCTTGTCCTGTAACATGGAAAAGGAGCCAAAAATTATGACAAGGTAAGAGAAGCCCAATCCACAAAAAAGATATTTTAGATAAGAAAAAACGATCTTCCTTTACAACCAAACTGAAGACTATACAGTGTCCTACTGGTAATTTTTAAAAAGAAGAAACATTGTCATTGCCTAGCAAGGACTGTAAATGTGTTGGCTACACAAAATCAAAACTAGGCTGATACTGCTGAACAGAAAAGACCGACTATTTTTTAAATCTTTATTTTGCCAGGATTTTTGCTGAGTTAAAATTGTTGAGACTTCTTTTGAGTTGCAACCTGCTTTTTGCATGTGGAGTTAGATATAAAAATTATGGACTCAGTGATAGAGGAAAGATGAGCAGGGATTCAGGGAAAATCTCTTAGCCCAGAAATAAATGGCAGAGCTTCAAGGAGGGGTTTTTCAGTGAGGTGGCTTCTACCCCTATCAACAAATCCATTATGGATACATGAGATGAGGGGTGATGTTCAAAATATTTAACAACCACTACATCATGGGCATCAACAACTCAGAATGGTCACCAGCCAAAAGCTACTAGAATGGTTGTCCAGGTGCTCTTAGTTGCCCATGAACTCTGCCGTGATTAAGCTGTCAGTTCTGGTTCTTACTTTTAAAAACTCGTTTCATTTACAGAGAAAGGGGTGGAACACAGAAAACAATGAGGAAAAGGGAAATACCAACACAGATGTGAACAGAGTATGAGCACGTCTGTCTTCTAACTGTGCTTTCACCACAACACCCCGAGCCCCCTACCCACCCAAACTCCCTTCTTTTGCATTTTCATGTAAGACCCTAAACTATAGGTACCACTGCTTTAAAGAAAGGTTGAATACTACTGTAATAATCAATAACGATGATTACTTCTATGTGATTTTAGCTTCTATTTATTCTGAGTGTCATACAGACATATAGAAATGAAACTCGATGGACATAAGAAATAAGGGGGGAAAGAGTTCAAACACTGTATTAAGAAAAATCAAAACGTAATAAGAAAATAAGGCAAAAAATGAGTGTTTTTCTCTTATAAACAGGGTATCATCATCACCATTGTCATCATCACCATCCACTATATAGCACTTACTATTTTCCAGGAATGAAGCCCTATGTGGTAGATACTATTATTATTCCCATTTTACAGATGAGGAAATTGAGGCATAAATTGCTCAAGGTTATCATGCAGGCAGGTGGCAGAGGCAAAATTTGAATCCAGGCAGTCTGGCTCCAGATAATTTGTTAAATTATAACAAATGTCATATTTTTAAAACTGTGGTTATAAGAAACCTTTGGCTCAAGTATGATCTTACTGTGGAACTATGGATTCATTTTTATTTCCTCTACTATATAATCAGTCAAGTACTTTGGGGTAAGTTACTTAACTTTCCTAAGCCCCCATCTCCTCCTCTGTAAAATGGGAACACGGACCTCAAAAAGTTATTGGCAGAGTTAAGTGAGTTAATATATGAAAAGAAGAAAGAAATACATACAAAACCTTCAACACAGTGTTTGTTATATTGAAATGCTTAAAAATAATAACTATTATTATTGTAAAAAAAACCCACAGATCTTACAAAATTAAAAGATAGCCTAGTATAGCTACTTTAATAAGAAAGCATGATAATGAGAGAATGACATTTTTTCCATGAAAGAACTTTTGTCAATAGGCTCTGAGACAATTTAACTCAAATAAATTACTAATACAACAGGCCTGCAGATTCTTCCTATGGGTTAAAAAAATCAGGGTGAATATTTAATTGCCAGGAATGTTGTCCCAGCCTTTTATAAATATTTGTTACCTTATAACTGAGATTAAATGAAGAGAAGGCACGAAAGTGGTGCTGTCATCTTGCCATCTTACACCTCTCCATTTTTTCTCCTCCTAAGTCAACAAATTAAAAAAGGAACTCCATCTCCATCTTATTTGGTTACTTACTTCCGCCTTTCACTTGGAGACTCAATCTGATGGTTAATGTTTTTATCCAGCGGGAGGGTTTTTGGCTTCACATCTTCTGAAATGTGCATAGGTGGGTTTAATACCTGCTGATTCCGGGATGGATCTGAGGCCAAGCAAAGAGCATAAACTTAGTGTCCAGCAGTCACTTTTTGTTGTCGTTAGTTGTTGTCGAATCACCTTAGTGTTTCGTAAGTCACCTTTCTGTAAAGTGCTAATGCCTGCTGAGGTCTCACAAGATTTCATGTAAGCCCTGGGCACATGGTGGAGGCAATACTCAGTTTATTTACTACACTGTGAATTAGTCCCGGAAACAAAGGAAGAAATGATGAGGTAAAAGAGCGGAACAGAAGATTTCAAAGGGCAGCTTGAAAAGTCAAAATAAAGCATTATAATGACATGTGCAAAGAGCTGGAGATAGAAAACCAAAAGAGAAGAACATGCTCGGTATTTCTCAAGCCGAAAGAACTGAAGAAAAAATTCAAGCCTTGAGTTGCAATACTGAAGGATTCTGCACGGAAAATATTAAATGATGCAGGATGTATCAAAAGAAATGGAAGGAATACACAGAGTCATTGTACCAAAAATAATTGGTCAGTGTTCAACCATTTCAGGAGGTAGCATATGATCAAGAATCGGTGGTACGGAAGGAAGAAGTCCAAGATGCACTGAAGACATTGGAGAAAAACAAGGCTCCAGGAATTGACGGAATACCAACTGAGATATTTCAACAAACAGATGTTGCCCTGGAAGTGCTCACTCATCTATGCCGAGAAATTTGGAAGACAGCTACCTGGCCAACCGACTGGAAGAGATCCATATTTAAGCCTATTCTCAAGAAAGGCGATCCAACTGAATGCAGAAATTATCAAACAATATCATTAATATCACATGTAAGTAAAATTTTGCTGAAGATCATTTAAAAGCCGCTGCAGTAGTATATCAACAGGGAACTGCCAGAAATTCAAGCCAGATTCAGAAGAGGATGTGGAACCAGGGATATCACTGCTAGTGTCAGACAGATCCTGGCTGAAAGCAGAGTAACACTAGAAAAATGTTCACCTCTGTTTTATTGACTATGCAAAGGCATTCGACTGTGTGGATCATAACAAATTTTGGATAACGCTGCAAAGAATGGGAATTCCAGAACACTTAATTGTGCTCATAAAGAACCTGTACATAGATCAAGAGGCAATCGTTCAAACAGAACAAGGGGAGAGTGTATGGTTTAAAGTCAGGAAAGTTATGCAAAGGTGTGCATCAGGGTTGTATCCTTTCACCATACTTATTCAATTTGTATGCTGAGCAAATAATCCGAGAAGCTGGACTATATCAAGAAGAACGCAGCACCAGGATTGGAGGAAGACTCATTAACAACCTGCATTATGCAGATGACACAACCTTGCTTGCTGAAAGTGAAGAGGACTTGCAGCACTTACTGATGAAGATCAAAGACCACAGCCCTCAGTATGGATTACACCTCAACATAAAGAAAACAATCCTCACAACTGGACCAATAAGCAACATCATGATAAATGGAGAAGATTGAAGTTGTTAAGGATTTCATTTTACTTGGATCCACAATCAAAACCCATGGAAGCAGCAGTCAAGAAATCAAAAGATGCATTGAATTGGGCAAATCTGCTACCGAAGACCTCTTCAAAGCTTTGAAAAGCAAAGATGTCACCTTGAAGACTAAGGTGTGCCTGACCTAAGCCATGGTGTTTTCAATTGCCTCATATGCATTAGAAAGCTGGAGAATGAATAAGGAAGACCGAAGAATTGATGCCTTTGAATTGTGGTGTTGGTGAAGAATATTGAATATACCATGGACTGCCAAAAGAATGAATAAATCTGTCTTGGAAGAAGTACAACCAGAATGCTCCTTAGAAGCAAGGATAGCAAGACTACGTCTCACATACTTTGGGCATGTTATCAGGAGGGATCAGTCTCTGGAGAAGGACATCATGCTTGGTAAAGTAGAAGGTCAGCGTAAAAGAAGAAGACCCTCAACGAGATGGATTGACACAGTGGCTGCAACAATGGGCTCAAGCATAACAACGATTGTGAGGATGGCACAGGACCAGGCAGAGTTTCGTTCTGTTGTACATAGGATCACCATGAGTTGGAATCGACTCAACGGCATCTAACAACAACACCTCTTAATATAATCTCTCCTTTTTTAGGCTTTTAAGTCAAATTCACCTGCCAGCAGCAAATATTCTCAAAGGTTCCTCAGTGGTAAAATAAAAAATCGGCAAAGTTAAACAAATACACAAACAAAAACCACATAAACATGAAATTCAAAATCAAAGAAGGCTCCTAGGAAAATACTTAGGCAAATGTACAAATGTGCACATAAAAGATACATTTTCAATTAGAATACAACTTAAATTCCCTCAATAGGGTTTGTCTAAGTCATTCCTTGTTCAGCTTTAGAAATCCTTGAAAATGATGTTGCAACTATTTAGTGATATGGGAAGATGCTCACAACATACTGTCAAGATGAAACTCAGGATGCAAAGATTATGAACCATTTTATAGTATGTAAGTTCATATGCTTAGAAAAATAGTAATATTAATACTAATAAAGCAATAAAGATAGTTCATGAGGTTAAAAAAGTCAAAGAAGGGTCAGAATATAGAATAATGCAAAAAATTCAGTAAAATAAACTTTCATTAAGCATTGCTTTCTATACAGCAATATGGATTCAACATCTGAGGTTTGAGTTATCCAGGAAAGATCCTGAAGACCCATGGCATGTGGAATTTGACCGCTTTGGTGAGGAATAAATTCAAATCTTGTGGTTATGAGCCTGGAATATAGGAGACATGGGTAGGAGTACAGGTGGAATGGGGAGGGGAGCTGATGGGAACCTCACCACCTCCCAGCAGCCACATCTCAGCCTGGCTTTGTGGATTTCTACTCCTCCATGAGCATTCATAGGGTCGCTCTGAGAATCGTCTCGACGGCAATGGGTTTGGTTGTTTTTGGGTTTTTTTGTTTGGTCTATAAGCATTGTATGGGGGAAATTATGTCCTCAGGTGGAATTTGGAAAACTGAAGAAGTCTTAAAATGCACTGCTTGCAAAGGTCAAAGGTTTTCTGTAAACTCACTTTCTTTTTCATTAAGTGCTGTTATAGACTGAATTGTGTACCCCCAAAATATGTGTTACAGGATCCTAATCCTAAACCTAATCACTTCTGAGTTATAAAAAGAGCAACACAGACACAGAGACAAGTTGGCACCTACTGAGGAAGAGAGATGCCATGTGCGGATCACCAAGAACCAAGGAACGCCTGGGGCTACCGTGAAGGAAGGAATTGACACGGCCAAGACCCTGATTTGGACTTTTAGCCTCCAGAACTGTGAGAAAATAAATTTCTGTTATAGCACCACAAGGAAACTAAGACAAATGCTAATGCCTGCTGAGGTCTCCTTGGGTCCCCAGTGATTTCATGTAGACTCTGGTGAAAGTTTATTAACTCTACTGTGTAGCATAAGCCCCTAGTCCGGATCCTGTAAGGAGAAGCCTGCAGCCAGCAGAGGTCACATCTGCCATGATGATGCAGGAGTCTTAACACTAATTTAACATGGGGGTTGGTCTTCTCCATTCTTACCCTGAGATAGCTGTGGGTTCATCCCACAGTGTGGAGCCCCAGCTTCTGCTTCCAGCTGCTGGTCCTGGTGGATTCCTTTTGGTACAGGGTTCTCAGAATGAGCCAGGGCCCCTTGAGTTAGGCTGTTAAAATAAATATTATTTCAGAACAGAAGTAAAAGCAACAGAGCTAAACTCATTGTTCCTACTACATAAAACATGGAAGTGCTAATTATAATATTTAGAAAGAAACGGGACTAAAAATTTTATTTTTTTTAATATTAAACTAGATTTGAAATGGATTTAAAATACTGTAAAATGGTATGTATTTTCATCATCCATCAATTTAACAAGCTTGAGAAACCATCATTTCTGATGTTCTCCCTACCTCCCTGTCCACGAAATTCTTCATTCTAATCATTTCAAGAGATGCCAGAGCTAACTGGAATCTTCCAGATTTTCACAAGAGAGTTAGGACTTATTGTAGAAATCATTTGGGACACATGGGACCTTTACTGCCCATGTTAATTCATGTTAATGGCCTTTTATTGGATTCTGGTTACAAAGAAAGGAGAGATGAAAGAAAAGCTGGTGACAACAGGGACCGTCCAGAGATCTAGCAAAAATTCAAATAAAATGCTTATCAACATCATGTAAACCTTCCTGACCAGTGGCTTTCATTTCATAAAACTGGAAAGTCCCTTTAAACAGTGTTATTTGGAAATAGATGTGCTAACCAAAGTGTTCTGCAGTCTCTGGACATGGGCCCTGAGCTCCTATAGTCTACAAGTCACCCAGTCTTCTAGCTGATGTGCATAGGAGATTTCTCAGAGCAAAGCCCCAGCAGAAGAGCTCAGCTCCCAGCCAACCTTGCAAATTGGCCAGTCTTTGAAAATGACACTCAGATAGCCTTTTTTGTCTTCAGGTCCCTTTACAGAGGTGCTGTGTGTGTACGTGCACACATGTACATGAAAATGACAACACCTATCTGGTATCTCAGAGCTAGGTTTGAAGAAAGCTCCAGAGGCAAACACCTGTCTCTTGAAAACATGCTGGTGGACTCTGCCTCTTGAGCCTCCTGCAGGTCCCTTCTAGGTTAGCCCTGGGGTGGCATCAGTAAACCCACTACAGTCCATGGCTACGACCAGAGTCTCTTCCAGTCTGAGCTAGCTCTGAATGCTCCCGGGGTTTCTGAGTATCCTGTTCTGATCTCCCACAGCACATACTGGAACCCATAGGTGGGGTGATTACCCACAATCACCCATAGTTTGTTGGGTATCCTTTATATTATCATTAACAATAAATGTGACCTCTCACAGCTCAGGTGATACTATTGGCAATGCTCAGGTCCACAGTAGTGGGACCCCTCGGTCTCATTTCAATCTCTCTTCCTCCATATACATTCACTCTTTCAGATGAATGATATCTAGGTTTAAGGCTTTGAACAGACAACATGCTCCTTTGATAATCTATACAGTCTCTTTTTTTTATGGTGGTGAAAATATACATGCAAAAACATTCACCAGCACCAACTTCCACATATAAAATTCAATGACATTGATTACATTTCATGCTGTGCTACCATTATAGCTATCCTTTTCCAAAATATTCCACCACCATTAACATAAACTCAGTGTTCCCTAAGCAAAAACTCTCCCTGTCTCTCCTTATTTAAAAAACGTTTCTTCCATTTTAAAAATAAGCCTATTCATATTCACTATCCAAAGGACATTTACTTCAGAGCTATTAGACTGTGTCTAAGAAATATGCACTGTATTACTGGAATGATGATTTCAAAGCTGAATATGATTTGCATTAGCAATGGGTACCCTTTCTGGGAGTAACTGGGGAGAGCCTGGCTTTGCCACATTTTGATGGACAGGCTGGTACAGGTTCATACCTCCTCTTTTCCTCCAGTGGGTCACTTTCCCCGTTCTTAAGCAATAAGTCATTGTCATCCCCCTGGAATGGTTTCTTCTGTCTTCTCTCTTGTTCTTCCTCTTGACAGTTTTCCGAGTCCATCTTATTCTGAGGGGAAGAAAAAGGATAATCCTGAATAAAATTTCTAAACACATTCAACAACACATTCTGGCCATGAGATACTTGAGGCATTTTTCAATCATGTTGCCTACAATTTAAAACACAGTGAAGTCATCATTCTTTGCTCAGATTAACTGAACAGTAACTGACATCCAACTGTTTGGAATAAATGCATCATCTGCATCTCTCTCATAAGTGATCACGAAAGTGCATTTATTAGAAAGCCACTTTTCCAAAAAAATAAATAAGTCACAGGTTTGCTCATTTCAGGGCAAATGGCTTTCTAGTGTCCATGGGTTATTTTATTCAGATTATGGCTTACCCAAGATGCCTGGGTGGTACAAATAGTTACTAACCTAAATGCTGGCAGTTTGAACCCACTCAGTACTGCTGCAGAAGAAAGGCCTGACGATCTGCCTCCATAAAGGTTACACCCAAAAAAACCCTATGGAGCAGTTCTACTCTGTAACACACGGGACGGCCATGAGTTGGAATTGACTCAACAACAATGGGTTGATGGCTTATCCAGGTCTTGGTATGATGTCTGTCTAGTACCTCTATGACCCTGTTTGCAGGATGTGGAGGTAGGCCAGCTTTTCTAGCTCTTTCTAGCTCATTAAGACATACTTAAAGTTCTTGTGGAATATTAGGAGTGGGGCTAGAAGCAATTTCATGGAGGTTGGTGGAGAGCGTATTGCTGGTGTGCTGGCTGCTACCATCCAGTGCACAGGAAAGCATGGCAGAGAGAGACACAAATATCTGCTGAATGAATGAATGAGCTGGAAACCTGGCGTGAGAAGGATATTTCCAGCATGTGGTTTTGTTAATCGGGATCTTGCCAGCCAGGTGTGGAGAGATTTTGGTTGTCAGCCTGTCAGGGCAGATCCTGCCTGGGTAGCGACTTACTACTCCTCAGGAAATGACTCTAGGGTTTAGCCAGGGCAGTGACAGTACAATGGGATACAATGGCCATGTCATAGCTGGCAGCATTCTAGGGCATTAGCCAGTCCTGGATTTAACTCTTGAGTCTAGTGGGACAATGTCGCCTGTGGTTCTGTACTTCTACTTGTGTTTATTTATTTCACAAATAGGTCTTTAATCTATGGTCTCACCACTGTCCCACTGCTGTCAGTTATGGAGGAGGACGTGGACAGCTGGTCTGCAGAACTTGAAGAAACAGTAAATGGAACCACCGTGTCTTCAATTATCTTGCGTTCCTAAAACACGAAAAATCACATTTGCCATGAGAAAAATTTTATTAGGAACTTTAGGAAAAACTTCAGAATATGTGCAAACAAGCAGGGCATTAAAAAAAAATTATCATTTTCCTAAAGCATGCAAATCATATAACATTTTAGATGGGGAATGATTTAGAAATTAGCATTTAATTTAGAAAACAAAGTCTTTGCAAATTAGTTACTGTGATTCAAGAAGCCTAATTAGAAATGCTTCTAGTGATCTGATTATGCACAAAAATTATTGTTGAAGATAAAATTCACAACAATTTTTATCATAAAAAATTTTTTAATAATATACGTGAAGTGTAGTCCCTTTCAGATTCTTTAATGTGGTCTGGTTTGTTTATCTAAAAAAAAAACAAAATTCTTCTCCCTTCAAATCTTCTTAGTACTATGTAGTGAATGTAGTGGTAAGGACATCTTCATTTAGACTTGTTACCAAAATTATCCCCATAAAATTAATTTACTGCTATCAAAAATGCTCACCACAAGCAAACGAATGAATAAACAAAAAACATTGATTCTTCCATGTCATCTCTCTAAGATAAATAAGGACTTCAAATCTCTGACTAAATAACAGATACAATTATGTCATATATCCAGACCATGGCTCAATCTACCCTTACCACAAACCAAATTTTGGGGAATTGTGGTCTCTTCAATTCTATATGATCTGTCCCTTTTAAGAAGGTTGATGGGGATCCGCTCTGAGTAAAGAGAATAAGACATAGCCACATGCATACACATGCCATAGGCACAAAGAGTATTGATAGACTTTGACAAATTAGGACTATAAGGTCAAATTTCTTCTCAGGAGTTTCCTACCTCCTCATAGTATCTACGTTCTTCCTCTTCCACCTCCTTTTGGGCCTTTTCCCATTCTTCTTTCAGTTTGTCCTGTTCCTTCTGGTATCTCTCCTGTTACGGAATTTCCATAGAATGTTCTGAATTGCCAATTGCATGCATCATTGGGAATTTTTCCCTAATGAGGAACCCTGGTGGCACAATGGTTAAACGCTCGGGTGCTAACTGGAAGGTTGGTAGTTCAAACCCAGCAATGGCTCTGTGAGAGAAAAGACCTGGCGACTTGCTCCTGTAAAGATTACAGCCTAGGAAACCCTATGAGGCAGTTCTACTCTTTCCTGTAGGATTGCTATGAGTCGGAACTGACTTGAGGGCACACAACAACAACAAACCACCATTTACAATGTATTTCAATACTCTGAAACTAAAAAATGCATACAGTAAAAGAGGGATACTATTTTGTGACATTCAAACGTTTTAGGGACATAAAAATCCAAAGGGAAGCAGTATTTTCCACTGTTGGTGTTTTGTAGAATTGTTCTTCAGATATGTGAACAGAAGTTTGCTTGGATTACAATTTATGGAAAGAGAAAGATGAACAGATGGAAAAATTCTAAAATCTTCCTTAACTTGGATTTTGTTCAAGGATGTAAGCTCACCCAATTGTTTGCTTTCACTGCACGCTTCAGAGATAAGTTGTGGCATTCTGCTAATAGAAATAAGTTGCTGCCAGGAGAGTTTGATAAAAGATGAAAAACCTTATAGAGGTTTATAAGACAGACAATGCAGAAAGGTCCAAAATGGACAAGGTGATAAGTAGCTGAGTAGCTGGATTATTCTTTGTTTGTAGCCATTCTACCAAAATGGAATCTTCCCAGCTTTATGTAACTTCTGAATTAAGAGAAGCTCTTAAACAGCCCATTAGAATGCTTCAGTATCAGAGCTGCCATTCTTGTTTACAGAAAAAATGAAAAACACTAGTCACCACTTCTGGGGAAAAAAATAAAAATATTCTGAACAAGGATGACTTTAAAAATGTGACTGGAGTCCCTGGCAGCTGCCTAGAAGAAATGGATAAGTAGAGATTAAAATTAATACTTGAAATGAGAACTGACACCCCTAGAGGACTTGGGAGTGGCATTCCTAACATGACAGAGAGAAAGGAATCACTGAAGTGTGTCACATGCAGTCAAATATTTTAGGCTGATAATTGTCAACCCTCTCTCTGAGGCTAGAACGAATCTGTGCTTCTGTCCCCACTGGGAAGGCAGTGAAATTTCCTCCTGATATAACCTCTGAAGTCAAAAGGACTTCATTGGATTTGTCTTGGGCCTGGTGTTCTTATTAATACTCTGGCAAAACTACTGTAGGTCAATAACCCCTAGCAGGCTCTTGAACTCCAGGTAAAAGTTTATTATCAACACCAGATATTGTAGAGAAGGACCTGAGGGGCTTTTCAGAATAAAGGAAGCAAATCCTGAAACTACACAAGAGGTGGAAAAATGAGCAAAGCTTCTTAGGCTTATTGGTTCCAGGGGCTCACATCACATGCCCCCTCACCAAGAAGATGAACTGTTGTTACTGGGTACTATTAAGTTGATTCTGACTCATAGCGACTCCATGTGATACAGTGGAACTGTCCCATGGGGTTTTCTTGCTGTAATCATTCTTTAAAAAAATTTTTTATTGTTGTAGTTTAAATGAAATTTACATTTCAAGTTAGTCTCCCATACAAAAATTTATACATACATTGTTATGTGACCCTAACCGCTCTCCCCATACTGTGACAGCACACTCCTCCTTTCCACCCCTGATTCCCCTTGTCCATTCAACCAGCTCCTAACCCTCTCTGCCTTCCCATCTCACCTACGGACAGAAGCTGCCCGTTTAGTCTCTTGTATCTATCTGAGCTAAGAGGCACACTACTCACGAGTATCACTTTATGTCCCACAGTCCAGTCCAATCCCTATTTGAAGAGATGGCCTTGGAAATAGTTTTAGTTCTGGGCTGATAGAGAATCCAAGGGCCATGCTTTCCGAGGTTCCTCCAGTCTCCATCAGACCATTAAGTCTGGTCTTCTTACTAGAATTTGAGTTCTGCACCCCACCTTTCTCCTGCTCCATCAGGGACTCTTTGTTGTGTTCCCTGTCAGGGTGGTCACTGGTGGTAGCTGGGCACCATCTAGTTCTTCTGGTCTCAGGGTGATGAAGTCTCTGGTTTATGTGGCCCTTTTTGTCTTGTGGGCTAATACTTTCCTTGTGTCTTTGGTGTTCTTCATTCTCCTTTACTCCAGGTGGTTGGGACCAATTGATGCATCTTAGATGGCCGCTTGCAAGCTTTTAAGACCCCAGATGCCACTCACCCAAATAGCATGCAGAACATTTTCTTAATAAGCTTTCTTATGCCAATTGATCTAGATGTCCCCTGAAAGCATGGTGCCCAGACCACTACCCCTGCTACTCTGTCCCTCAAAGTGTTTGACTGTATTCAGGAAACTTCTTAGCTTTGGTTTAGTCCAGTTGTGCTGACTTACCCTGTAGTGTGTGCTGTCCTTCCCTTCACCCAAGATAATTCTTATCTACTATCCAGTTAGTAAATAACCCTCATCCTCCCTCCCCACCCTCATAACCATCAAAGAATGTTGTCTTCTGTGTTTAAACCTTTTCTTGAGTTTTTATAATAGTGGTCTTATACAATATTTGTCCTTCTGTGACTGACTAAATTCACTTCGCATAATGCCCTCCAGATTCCTCCATGTTATGTTTCATGGCTTCATCGTTGTTCTTTATCATTGCATAGTATTCCATTGTGTGGATATACCATAATTTGTTTACCCATTCGTCCATTGATGGGCACCTAGGTTGTTTCCATCTTTTTGCTATTGTGAACAGTGCTGCAATGAACACAGGTGTGCATATATCTATTCGCGTGATGGCTCTTATTTCTCTAGGATACATTCCAAGGAACGGGATAGCTGGATCGGATAGTACTTCTATTTCTAGCTTTTTAAGGAAGTGCCAAATCAATTTCCAAAGTGGTGGTACCATTTTAAATTCCCACCAACAGTGTATAAGTGTTCCAGTCTCTCCACAAGCTCTTCAGCATTTATTATTTTGTGTGTTTTGGATTAATGCTAGCCTTGTTGGTGTGAGATGATATCTCATTGTAGTTTTGATCGGCATTTCTCTAATGGCTAATGATCATGAGCATTTCTTCACGTGTCTGTTAGCCACCTGAGTATCTTCTTTGGTGATGTGCCTGTTCATATCCTTTGCCCATTTTTTAATTGGGTTATTTGTCTTTTTGTTGTTGAGGTTTTGCAGTACCTTGTAGATTTTAGAGATTAGACGCTGATCGGATTTGTCATAGTCAAAAATTTTTTCCCAGTCTGTAGGTTGTCTTTTGACTCTTTTGCTAAAGTCTTTTGATGAGCATACGTGTTTGATTTTTAGGAACTCCCAGTTATCTAGTTTCTCTTCTGGTGCTTGCGCATTGTTACTTATGGTTTGTACTGTGTTTATGTCACGTATTAGGCTCTTAGTGTTGTCCCTATTTTTTCTTCCATGATCTTTATCGTTTTTGATTTTATATTTAAGTCTTTGATCCACTTTGAGTTTAGTTTTTGTGCATCGTGTGAGGTATGGGTCTTGTTTCAGTTTTTTGCAGGTGTTTATCCAGTTCTGCCAGCACCATTTGTTAAAAGAGACTGTCTTTTCCTCAATTAACGGACTTTGGGCCTTTGTCAAATATCAGCTGCTCATAGGCGGATGAATTTATTTCTGGATTATCAATTCTGTTCCATTGGTCTATGTATCTGTTGTTGTACCAGTACCAGGCTGTTTTGACTACCGTGGCAATATAACAGGTTTTAAAATCAGGTAGTGTGAGGCCTCCCACTTTGTTCTTCCTCTTCAGTAATGCTTTACTTATTCAGGGCCTCTTCCCTTTCCATATGAAGTTGGTGATTTGTTTCTCCATCTCATTAAAAAATGTCAGTGGAATTTGGATCAGGATTGCATTGTATCTGTAGATCGCTTTGGGTAGAACTGACATTTTCACAATGTTGAGTCTACCTATCCATGAGCAAGGTATGTTTTTC